TACTCGGGCCTACACCACCAAGTCCTTATCAACAATTCCTCCCAATTTTGATTTCACCTGTACTCCCCTGACCTACACCACCAAATCTCTGTCTAGAGCCCCCCTCCTGTCTTAAGCTGTAACCCCAGGCCTATACCACCAGTCCCTATCAAAAGCCTTTCCTAGCCGTGACTTAGGATGCAACTCCCAGGCCTACAGCATCAAGTCTAATCAAGAGTTCCCTCCAAGTCTTGACTTAGGTTGTAACCCCCAGGCTGACAATACCAAGTCAAGTCATTATAAACAACCTCTCTCAGTCTTGACTAAGGCAGTAACCCTGAGACCAATACTACCAAGTCTCTATCAACAACTCCTCCTAGTCTTAACTTAGGTTCTAACCTCCAGGACTATACCACCAAGTTTCTATCAATACCCCTTTCCAGTCTTGACATAGGGTATAAGCTTCAGGCCTACATTACCAAGTCTTACTTAAAAACAACACAACACAACACAAAACAAAACAAACAAACAACAAAAAAACCTCTCTCAGTCTTGCCTTATGCTGTAACAACAGGCCAAAACCACCAAGTCTCTATCAACCACCCTTCCTAGTCTTTGCTTAGGTTGTAACCCCAAAGCCTATACAATGAAGTTTCTATCAACAAACCCCTCCCAGTCTTGACTTAGGCTGTAATAATCAACTCCTACACTAACAAGTCTCTATCAAGGTCCCTCTCTTAGTCTTAGGCTGTAATTCCAAGGCCTACACTACACCAAGTCCCTATCAAGAGCCTCCTTCTAGTCTTGACTTAGCCTGGCCTATACCACCAAGTCCCTATCAACAACTCCTCCCACTCTTGCCTTAGGCTACAACCCCAAGGCCTATATGACCAAATCTCTATAAAAGACCACTCCCAGTTTTAACTTAGGTTCTAAATGCCAGGTCTATACCACCAAGTCTCTATCAACAACTCCTCTCAGTCTTAATTGAGGTTGTACTCTGCAGGCCTACCACCACTCATCTGTCAGTTTGTTGTACTGGGATGGTTTGGATGTTGCTCTGAGGATGGAGGCTATGCCACCAGTATTTCATACCAGCAGGGTCACCCATGGTGGACAGGTTTTATAGGAGTTTCCAGACTAAGACAGACTCAGAAGAAAGAAGGGGCCATCTACTTCTCAAAAAATTGGCCAGTGAAAATCTTATGAGTAGCAGTGAAACATCGTCTGATATGTTACTCGAAAACTTGATGAAGATCCCTGAAACACTACCTGATATAGTGCTGGAAGATGAGCCACTCAGGTCAGAAGGCACTCAAAATACGACTGGGGAGAGCTGCCTCCTCAAAGTAGGGTCGATCTTAATGACCTGGATGGAGAAAAGCTTTCAGGACCTTCACTTACTGAAGTGGCATGACTCAAAGTAGGAAGAAACAGCTGCAAACATCCATTAATAATTAGAACATAGA